TGCGTTTCTAGCTGATTCCTCTCTCTCCCTGGAGGACAGAATGGACAGAATCCCCTCTAGTTTTCACAGCCAGATGTTATTTCCTATGGCAGAGTCAGCATTTGAATTCTGGACTATTTTACTCTAAGTCTTATGCTTTGAAAATCATACAATGAGTTGCTAATAGTAGAGAGTCCTTGGATTATTTTGAATATTTAGACAAGATTTGGGGGTAGAGATTCAGTAATTACATATTCTATAATTGTGTATTAGATCATTTTCTAAACTCTTTTGTAACTCATAATTCCTTTTAATAAATTTAAAAATTACTCCATCAATGTTATTTATAATTAAAAGTAATTTTAGTACAAGTAAAAAGCAACCAGAGCATAAGCTCAAAGCCTACTTTTTTCCCTAATTACATGTCATCTTGTACATTTTGTCTTGTAAATCTTAAGATGATAGAGATATTAGCATCTTCATAATGAAAAATAGGAAAATGAAAGTTTATGTGACCTGAATTGAGTCAGTAAACCTATTTCACAGCCTAGCAGATTAGAATCCAGTTCTCCAGTTTTAGCCCATTTTACTTGCTTTTCATAAGACCCTCATGCGTTACTGAAGACTACATAATGAGAATAGCATGTTTTTTTGTGTTTGCTTGCTAGAGAGATTTGTTGTCAATTAAGCTACTCAATAATAAGAGTATCTTTAAAGTTAAATGTACCTCATATGATTTTTATATGTAAGTCTTAGGATTGAAAAAATATACCTTCATGTGTTTCACAACTTTCTAGTTTTCAACTGGTTTCTAGTTTTTATTGTTTTCTGGTTGGAAAATAATAGATGCTTATGTTTAGGGGAAAAAAACATAAAACTGTATATATGGAAAGGACTTTTTTTGTGTGTAATCCTCACCTGAGGATATTTTTTTCCACTTAATTTTTAGAGAGAGTGGAAGGGAGGGAGAGACGAGGAGAGAGAGAGAGAGAAACATTGATGTGAGAGAGACACATCAATTGAATGCCTCCCACATGCACCCCCTGACCAGGGCCTGGGATTGAACCTGCAACCAGGTATGTGCCCTTGACTGGGAATGGAACCCAAGACACTTCATGGCACAGGCCATCCCTCTAATCACTGAGCCACTGGGCCAGAGCTGGAAAGGACTTTGAAGGTGATTTAATTCTGTTTCTCTGAAAATGTTGGTATTATATAAAAATTAAGGCAGGTGGCTCACTCCTTTTTCCCATAAACAGAGCCTGGACAAAAGGAAGTGAATTGCATGAAGTCAGGGTCCTGAGCCTGACTGTTCTTGTGAATAGCTTTTGACTACTTCATAGTAGGTTTATGTGGTTATAACTTTATACTTTTGAAAGTTTAGCTTGGGCTTTGCTATCCTTGCTGGTTCAGATACTAGTTTCCACAGAATGAGAATAGTCAGCCTTTGGAACACCAGGGAGCTCTATCCTTGGCCTTTCTTTATTTATGGCTTTGGTATTCCTGGATTCCATAGGTTGTACCGGCATCTTGGAGTGAATAGGGCCAGAAAGATAGTCTAAAATAGAGGATGTGTAGGATCATTACATTTCTCCTTTTTGGAATTTACTAAGGTGAAGGCAATAGCTTTTCCTCTCATGACATCCAAGATGAGTTGTGCTCTGAGCAAAATATTCACATACCTATTTTTGGAATATATCTTGTGTCTTTTTTTTTTAATCCTCACCCAAGGATATTTTTCAATTTATTTTCAGATGGAGTGTGTGTGTTGGGGGGGGGGGGGCAGGGAGAGAGAGAGACATCGATGTGAGAGAGACACATGGATTGGTTGCCTTCTGCATAACCCCGACCAGACCCGGGACTGAACTGCAACTGAGGTACGTGCCCTTGACCGGAATTGAACCCGAGACCCCTTGGTCTGTGGGCTGATGCTTTAACTGCTGAGCCAAACTGGCCAGGGCTCTTGTGTCTTTCTTATCCATATATGTTGGTGGGCTTCTTAGAAAACTGCATATAAATATTATTTTTTATTGTGCAGACTCTTGAAAAGAATTAAACTTTTAAATTACTAATGTTAAACAGAATTCATTGCATTGGTTATGTGTCTATGATCTTTGAAAAATGTGTTCATTTGAAAGAAGTAAAGCATATGGCCAAACATTCTTAGTGCACCTAAATGTGCTTACAGACTTTTACTTGCCCGAAATGAGAAGGATAGCTATAGAGGTTAAGAGTCTGTGGAATACTACAGAATAACAATTTGGCATCTCTGAAATTATAATCTGTGTTAATGAGGAAATTATTTGATTGTCAGTCTGATTTATAAGACAGACTTTCACTTGTAATTTTATTTTTTTATTGTTGAAAGTATTACAGCCTTGGCCAGTTTTGCTCAGTGGTTAGAGTGTCGGCCTGCGGTCCAGAGAGACCCAGGTTCGGTTCCTGTTAAGGGCGCAAACCTCGGTTGCAATTTGTCCCTGGCCCGGGTTGGTCATGCGGGTGGCAGCCACTTGATGTGTCCCTTTCACGTCGATGTTTCTCTCTCTCCCTTCTGCTCTTGCCCTCCCACTCTACCTGAACAAAAAATGGAAAATGTCCTCGGGTGAGGATAAAAAAATTGACCCCCTCATTTCCGCTCCCAACCCTCATTTCTCCCATTGACCCCCTCATTTCCGCTCCCAACCCCTTCCTGCCTTCCCCAGTTGTAATGTTTTTTATAGAAAGCAATATAGCTGGCAATTTTATTATTTTTTTAGATTTTCTGTTTAGTAGTGTATGTTATACTACTTGGTTTTGATAATAAAAGAAATTAATGAGACCAGAATTTTACTAGATAAAAGTAGATCACAGGTTAAATTTGATTTCAGTACTAAGAGAAATCAATGCCTAAATTAATCATATTGTATTTAGTTGGGAATGGTTTTCAAGATCTGTTTGTAGACATTGCCACTGTTTCCCACCCCTTCCACACCCAAAATTATGAAGAGGAATTTGTACTTTCTAAGCTTCCTTCAGTTTACCCAAGCATAGACTGTGTTTGCCTGTTAGAGCTAAGAGTCCTTTGTTATCTGTTTTCCTTTTTTCACCAAGTAAGTTTCTTTCTTTTGCTCTCCTATTCGTGTATCTTGGCTACTTTAAGTCAGCTTGCTGCCTTCTTGCAGCCCTGTTTTTTATGCATGTACACTAGATTTTCTGAGCAGACACAGCCAGTAAAGCAGTTAACAGCAGAGCAGAAAGGATTGAGTACAAACACCCACATTAGTGTATGTATTGCTGATCTATGATATGTTTTTTTTTTTTTTTTGTAATGTTTTCTTTTTCTTTTTTTCCTACTGTTGGAAAGTAGAAGCTGAATTGATGTTGACATTGTGTGGAATGCCTGAGGATGTGGGATGGGGGAAAGGGGCTAGTTTTTTGTATGACTTCTCTCTGACATGCTGCAGTAGGACTGGAAACACTTTTCATATATGGAGGAAAGAAAAAAACATTCAGGATTGAGCTTGCAGATTTTGTGGGGTATGTTTAGATTTTTCTATTTCTCAACTTTGCCTAATTTAATAAGGCTTGGTAGTAGGATATGACTTTTGTATAATAAGTAGATTGAGGTATGGGAAGAATGGGCTGCCATGATCATTAGGGACTGTTAAAATCCCCACGACATTGTGACCCACATTGTGACACATCTGAGAAACAGTGAGCTCCTTGGTCATCTCAAGTGTTTAAAAGTAAAAGTATAAAAATAGCTTTGTTCTTGTACTTTTTTTCTCCCGCACAAATCTTAAGAACATTGTACCTACATACTCAAAACAGTTGCGTTTCGTCTATATTTAAAATCTCACCTCAAAAAGGTGAGAAATACAAATGTAGCATGCAATTGCCCCTTAAGTATCTTCTTTGGTGTAATTGTCTCATTTTCCTTTATGCTACAGTTTAGTGGAGCCTGAGCTTATGTTTGGGTTATATATGAGATGAAACTGAAATACCTTCATGAAGCTTTAAGGGGAAACTTGGCAGTACTAGTCTGGAGGACTTCTTGAATGCCATCCTCCCGTCTTCATGTTGCCTTCTTTTACCTTTTCTCCCACCCCAAAAGTGTATTATTGGAGAGTTCTATGGCTTTTTCTCTCATTTTGTGGAAAAGAAAGAAAAGGGAGTAGTGTGTGTGTGTGTGTGTGTGTGTGATTTCAGTACAAACAGCAGTTAAATTTATTACATTGAAAGAAATAGCTTTATTTTGTAATTCTGAATCTAAGATTGCTAGGATTCATTCATTAGGAATCTAGTTCTGATGGATCATGTATGAATTTAGAAAATGATGTTTCAGAGTAAAAGGGGATCCTAGCTTGTTCTTTCTGAAGAATAGCAAGATAAATGCTAATGTCATCCTTTTTCACTTAGTGTACATTGTTCTATATATTTGATCATTTGAATTGATCAGTGATCTAAAATAGCTTTTTTTAGCAGATGTATTTGCTAGAGCAAATGGCCTATGTGTTTATTGGCAATCCTTTCCATTTTCTCTATATTTTATTCTAAAATTGATACACATCAGTAATTTAAGGGGACATTACACTTCAGTAAATGTCCTTTTCCTTAATATTGTTGGCTGTTTCTGTTAGCCATTTTCATTTGATTTAGCAGTTGTACTTAAGGGTTAAGCTTACAGAACTGATGCAACCCCTCCTTTTCTTCACCAGCAATTTTCATTGGACAGCATTTCCTAGCAACAGTGAGATCAGTGAAACCTGAGTGTTTCATTGATTATTTTTCTCTGTCTTTTTTAATCTATTCTCATTTCACCACATTTTAGTGAGAAAGCGATTTTTTTTTTTTTTAACAAACAGAGCTTATATTTATTTCTGTTCCATAAATAAAAAGAGGGTAGAAAAATCTGCCCTTCATTTAAAAAGTGAATGTTTCACTATGTATTTAAAAAGCGATTCAGGATTAGGAGGCTGGATAACCATACCAGCTGTAGCTGATGTTCTCAAATATTCTTGCATTGTTTGCTGGTCTTCTAGGGAAAAGAATAATGTGGAACAGGACCTTAAGGAGAAAGAAGATACTCTCAAACAGAGGACAAGCGAGGTTCAGGTATGTGAGCTGTGAAATTCAGTATTACATTTCTGATTTAGAATATATTTTAAATGTATAGGGTCATTTACTATATGATGGTTCTGATGTCGGTGAATAGATCAAGAAATACTGATTATATATATGATATAGTTATCTTTTGTAAATTATGTGTTTTTCTTTGAATTCTGGCCTGAAGAGAAATTACTGCAGTGAGAAAGCAGTATTTTTTCAGCATAAATTTCTAATTGTGCAAGTATTTTAAAGATAATATTTAACTGCATATTATATTATTAAAGCTAAGTTTGAATGACTTAAGATGTAAATATTGTCACACCAATAAAATTCAGTAAGTGAAATTATTGTCGTCGTCGTCGTCATCATCATCATCATGAAAACACAAATTGTTTTTTCAGAGAAATGAAATTTTGTTAGCTAGGAGACCTACTATTTTCAAGATCTGTTTCTCATAATACTGGTAGGATGAGAAATTGCATGGAACAATTTAAAATAATATTTTATAAGTTGCTTAGTAGCCAGGATATCTTAAAGTTTGGCATAAAGCAGTTTAATTCATTTTCACTAAGTGCTATGTTAAGTAGCTTCATTTTTCAAATAAAATAGAAAAGACAATAAAATCTCAGATTCTGATTGGGAAATGACACTAAAAGGGGTATTTCAAACATTAAAAATACAGAAAACTGGGCAGTATTGCAGTTAGAACAGTAAGCAATGCATGTGACCATGTTACTGGGGCACTGTTTCCTGAATGCTGCACCAGTACATACAGGACGTAGGGTGTAAAAGCTTTGGTAGCAGTTGCCAGTAACAGCTCATAGATGGGCATTTCTTAACATGTTACTCGTATGTTGGATTTCCCTGCTTATTTCAGTTTTAAATGGGTAAAAGCTCTAAATGGTTAGATCCATTGTTTTGTTCTGATGTGAGACATTCACCAGAGATTGTTTACCAGTGGACTGTGCTTGGGTGAGGAGAATGATTTACTGAGGTATTGAGGAAGAAGCCAGAGAGACTTTTTATTGGAAGTTGATGCTTATGTTGGAAGACTGTATTTATTACATACACTGGGATTTTCCTAAAGGTGATGCAGAAGTCAGGAGATCATCACTAATGTTTTTCTCTTTGTGGTTGTGAAATGGGGAATTACCTCTATTACATTATTTTAGTGCAAATTTTTAGCTTTTTCAGAAATGCAAAAGAGTCACAGACTTGAACAGTTATTGCTAAAAATAGTTTAAGATTATAAAATAATTGAGAGAAGTTTTCTCATTCTGAAGAAATAGATACAGTTTCTGATATAATCTTTGACAGCATATAAATGTAACCAGATAATGTTTATTTTGATAGACAATATTTTGTTATTTGTATACATCTACCTATAGGTTTTCCCTACTGCATCTTTTGAGGATGTGAATTTATTTTATTTATTTTTTTGTTAATCCTTGCCTGAGGATATTTTTCCATTGATTTTTTAGATAGAGTGGTGGGGGGGGAAGAAATGTTGATGTGAGAGAGACACAACAATTGGTTGTCTCCCTCACCCTATGGGGCTGGGGATCAAATCTGCAACTGAGGTACGTGCCCTTGACTGGGAATCAAACCTGAGACCCTTCGGTCCTCGGGCCGACTCTCAAACCACTGAGCCAAACTGGCCAGGGCTGAGGCTGTGAATTAAATAGCCAGTTTGGACAAATACTAAAATTTACAATGTTCCTTTTAGGCTAAGTGTGCTATCCTTGACTATTTGATTTCTTGTAATTACAATTTTGTTGTCAGTCAAAATTTCTTTGTGATTTGCTTATCCTTCTTTACTTAGTGGTGATGGTAAGGTATATGTTAAACTGTAAGCTTTGCTAAATCTAGATGTATAATTGGCATAAGAATTCTAAATTTTTGAATTTTTGCTTTGGGTGCTATAAATAAAAGACATCTTGGAGCATAGTTGGCACAGACCAAGTTGTAATGGTCAAACATATGTTCACAGCAAAGGAATGCTGGATTAAAATGTTGCATTAGTAGCCCTGGCCAGTTTGGCTCAGCAGTTAGAGCATTGGCCCACAGACGAAGGGATCTCAGGTTCGATTCCCAGTCAAGGGCACATATCTTGCTTGCTATTTTCAGCCCTGGTGGAGGTCATGTGGGAGGCAACTAGTCAATGTGTTTCTCTCACTTCGATGTCTCTCCCTGCCTCCCCCCACCACACACACACACACACACACACACACTCCCTTCCACTCTGTCTAATAATCAATGGAAAAATATCCTCAGGTGAGGATTAACAATCAATCAATCAATCAATCAATCAATAAAAATACTGAGTTTGCATTAGTAGATCTATTACTTATTCCATTTGCATTAGTAGATCTATTACTCATTCCATTCCAATATGAGACACTAGACTAAGATGACATGGATAATTGACATCTACAAATAATTAAAACTTTTTATTTTAGTGATCATTTTCAATTTTCTGAAGCACAAGACAACTTACTCAGATGTGGTAATATGTAAATTTCATTACCTATAGGATTAACTCTGATTTACCCATTGGTAACGAGGCACAGACTAGTAATAACATGGGTAATTAAAATCTGTAAGTAATTAGCCCTGGCCGGTTTGGCTCAGCGGTTAGAGCTTCGACCTGTGGTCCTGAGAGATCTGGGTTCGGTTCCCGCTAAGGGTGCGTACCTCGGTTGCAGTTTGTCCCCGGCCCTGGTTGGTCGTGTAGGTGTCAGTCACTCGATGTGTTCCTTTCACATCGATGTTTCTCTCTCTCTCTCTGTTCCTCTCTCTCCCTCCCACTTTACCTGAACAAAAAAATGGGAAAATGTCCTCGGATGAGGATAAAAAATAAATAAATAAAAAATAAAATCTGTAAGTAATTATAATTCCTAGTGCTTATTTTCTAATTTCTCTGGCAAAAGACAGTTTTTGGAGCTATTAATAGCAGAATTAAAGAATGTGAACTTCACTGCTTCTTTCTGACCCCACTTTCATAATGTAGATGCTAATGAGAAGTGCCAGAATGAAGGCATCAGGGAAGTAAGGACATTTTGACCTATCAGTGAGTGTCTGCCTAATTCACACTTGGTTTTTCTGAGTGTTCTTGCTTATCTCTTTCTTTTTTCATCCTCACCTGAGGACATTTTTCCACTTTTTGTTCAGGTAAAGTGGGAGGGAGAAAGAGGGGGGAAAGAGAGAGAGAGAGAGAGAGAGAGAGAGAGAGAGAGAGAGAGAGAGAGAGAAACATTGATGTGAAAGGGACACATCAAGTGGCTGCCACCTGCCCGACCAACCAGGGCCAGGGACAAACTGCAACCGAGGTACGCGCCCTTAGTGGGAACCAAACCCAGGTCTCTCTGGACCGCAGGCCGACGCTCTTAACAGCTGAGCCAAACCGGCCAGGGCCTTATCTCTTTATAAAGTCACAAATAGTTATATGAGCTCATATCTTAAGCTACAAACCAAATTTTCAAAGCCTCTTTATGTGTGACCAAAGGGCCAAAAGACCAGTTACATTTTGTTTGTTTTGCACTTATATAGTCTTCCTAATTCAGTAAAATGAAGATATCTGCTACATAATTAAATTCTAAATTTTTGTTTTATGTCTGTAGTCCCATGAACTATACATATTGAAAACTTTTAGTTCAAGATTTTTTTCCTTGGAAACCAAGCCAGTGATTAACCTCAAATTAAATTTTATGAGATGACTGCTCTTGACTCATGAGGTATACTGCTAATTTATCATGTGCTATGGAGAAATTAGGCTCAAAGTGATCCAAGGGGAAAGGCTATAAAAGATAGTTCTATCTCAAATGTTTATGGTTTGGGCTTGTTAAGAGGAGATGGTAGTAATAACATGGATAATTAAAATCTGGAAGTAATTGTAACTCCTAGTGCTTATTTTCTAATTTTTCTACCTTAAACTACCTATATACAATTTTATTAAAATTTTTCTTCTGGCCCTGGCTGGTTTGGCTCTGTGGTTAGAGCGTCGGCCTGCGGTCCAGAGAGACCCAGGTTCAGTTCCCACTAAGGGCACGTATCTCGGTTGCAGTTTGTCCCTGGCCCTGGTTGGATTGTGTGGGTGGCAACCACTCGATGTGTCCCTTTCATGTCGATGTTTCTCTCTGTCTCTTCCTCTCTCTCCCTCCCACTCTATCTGAACAAAAAATGAAAAAAAAAGTCCTCGGGTGAGGATTAAAAAAAAAAAATTTTTTTTCTTCTGAGTAGTCAGCAAATATTTAGAAATTCACCCTCATATGTCTGCTTTCTTGTTTTGCATAGACGTTTATAGGAACAACTTGGTATCAAACAGACTTGAATTTAGTTCCTAGTTCTGGCTCTTTCTAGGTTTTTATATCTAAATAACTGCTCTACAAGTTAGTTTTCTCTTCTGTAACGTGGGATAATAAAAACACCAAACACTTAGGGTTGCTGTAAGAATAAAATAAGATAATGCAGGTAAAGTGTTTCACGGTGATTGGCACTGGGTAAAAGTTTAGTAGATGTTCTATTCACAGTATTCTGTATAATACTGTCAACTCATTATTACTCTCCCTTCATTGTCAAGCTCCACATCAGACTTTACTATTTCTGCCAATGTTTTTCTTTCTCACTACTGCCACCGTTAGCACCTAACACCTAAAAATTTAAAGTCAGAGCATAAGTGCTTATCCCATCCTCTTCTTGCCTTCTTCCAAAACTAATTTTATTTATTATTATTATTTTTTAATTCTCACCTGAGGATATGTTTATTGCTTTATGGGGGGGGGGGCATCGGTTGTTTGCCTCCCATACACACCCCAACTGGGAATTGAACCCACGACCTTTTGGTGTATGGACAATGCTCTAAACAGCTGAGCCATCCGGCTGGGGCCCTGAACTAATTTTAGTATCATGGCTCTCATATGTGAAAATATTTACTGCCACTGCTACTGTTAATGATGGGAGAATGTCATACCTCATGGGTGTGTTGGAAGTAGAAAAAAAGATGAGAT